GTGGGCTAGTCTTCACGCCAAGACAAATCCCCACCTCTTCCCCTTCTCTCCCAATACACGTGTACTTTTAGTCCTTCTAAATGCCTTCTAGGGACGTTGAAGTAGATTGGGTCCATTTCGCCTTCCCACCTCCCACAAGTTCCCTTCTAGCCATCGTCGGGTTACTTGAGATCAACTACAAAACACTTCACCGTCATTCCCCTTTCTCGAGGCTTGTTATCCAGAGATAAAAGGCTGCATTTTCGTAACAAGCATGAACTAAGAATTTGTGGTGGATGAGCTGATTTCCCAATGGTTCTGCGTACGATACTTGAGGAGGCCCACACTAGTCCGTTGGGTGAAGGTTTACCGGCATTCCTTTGCGAGCCCACAACAGACGAGAGATCATTTCGCTCAGTTGAGCAGCCAGAGGTGTGGGGCCCTTGAACCTCGAACATCAGGAGAGGGTTGCTTGGGGAAGCTTTGTTAGGCACCACGTAGAGAACGAAAGGATATGAAGAGGGAGAACTCACGAGCCGTAAAGCTTGCGTCAACCTGAGAACCTTTCTTCATGCTCTTCACGAACTGGCCTCGTGTTCGAATTGCTATTCCGCCCCTCCCACACGACGTCAAACTTAAATGCTGAAAGGGCGATGGTAATAAGCCGTTGTAAAATGTTCGCAGAAGTAGAGAAAGCATAGGTGAATATCTCAGGTAAGTGAGAAGGGTATGGTGGATGTGGCAAGCCAAATGGTCTAGTGGCATTCATTCGCTCCACACAAAAGGCATCGGTCAATAGCTCATCAATTGCAGTTGAAGATTCAGTCCACAGTTGTCAACCTCCTGTAGTCCTTGTGCAAGGTAATGTCACGAGTGTGGTAGTGGGTAGAGATGTAGAGTGGATGTGGGGCAGAAGTTGACAACTTTATTACAGCAGTTGCTGTAGTGCTAGTCTTGGTGTTGTGCCTGTGGGCTGGTCTTTGGGCCAAGTCGATGCCTAATCACCTCTTATTCAATCCAACCTAATGCCTTCTTCCACCTAGTGGGAAGCCCCTCGAGGTGCTGCACTGGTGGCAGCAGAAGACGAACCCCACTGATCCACACCTCCTATGCTGTTGTCCACTGTTTGTATCACACACCTATGGTGGAAAGTAAGATCTTGTTCTGTGTGTAGTGTCCCGCGACTTCTCACCTGGTGGAAGAAGTCCGTAAGTGGTGCTGGGTACATGTATTCCACGGAGAACAAAGCAACTAGGTCTTTGCATGGCCCGAAGGCCAGCCAACGTGTAAAAGGGTCAGATATTTCCCAAAGCGACCGCCAATCTTCATGTCGTCACATAAACAAAGCCTTAAACTA